TATATTACGATAAACGTGCAATCAATTTACAAATTCATGAATTATTCACACAAAAACAAAAGCAAAGGTTAATGATTTAATTGGCGAGAAATCCATCATCGCAAACAATTCAAATAATATACAAAAACCTCCGAATCCGTTATGAATGAATTGATCCTTGTTTCCATAAATTTCTGCCGTATTAGTTCTTATTTTTACTACAAGCTTTCGTCTGTTCCAATTAAATCATTAACCTTTGCTTTTGTTTTGTGAGAATAATTCATGAATATATATATATATATATATATATATATATATATATATATATATATGTGTGTGTGTGTCTATATATATATATATATATATATATATATATATATATATATATATAGATTCTATACTTTTAATCTATTTTTTTATTATTTTAGGTGATACCCTTATTTTTATAGAAACTTGATGTATTTGTAACAGTATATATTTATATACTGGCCTGCATATTCTAGAGACATTAATAAAGATAACATGTCATTCCAGCCGATTTAGAACCTGTGCAGCAGAAATGGCTTGTCCGTCGTACCTTAACCACTAGGCTACGAAGAGCTTCACAACCAAGCAAGGTTCTATTTGTCTTTAAAGCACACACACTAGGTCATATTTTCTCGATCGCTATATCTGCTCAGTATCGTATCCTAAACGTAAACAAAGCAATTAATCGATTTTTATTTTTTAAACCTACATATTTTTAATACGTCAAATGTTATTTTTAGTGAATGCCAATATTGGAGTGCAGGCCAATTTATTTTAAACATTATTATTTAAAATAACCAGAGCGTCGCCTACTGAGTATCGTAGTGTGTAGAAGTACGGCATTCACCAGTCGGAAGTTTTTATTTTCAAAATTCCTATCTGAAATTTTCTCATCTTTGAAGAAGTTTTGATGAGAAATTCAATGATGATACTGTCAACGGTTCTGATAGATCGCAGTGTTTAGTGCAGTTTTTATATCGACTACATAAAAATCGCTATAAAAATAATTTGTCCCTATCTATAAGTGAATAATTCCATGAAAACGTAATATATTAAACGGAGATTTGGTGTCTTCGCCTGTGCAGAAGCCAAAAATTCATGCGTTTTAACGTGTCGTACCGGAAGTCAATATTCATTTTGGTGCCCGCACTACCGGCTGTCGTTAATCTCTTTCATCACATTAAATTTATTCGCACTCTTTGTAAAGTTTTTTTTTTTCCTATCATTATATCTCTGCCACCATTAACCCTTTTCAACTTTGACTAATACACGTTTGGATAGTTTAATCTAGTCAAATGCTTCACTGGGTCCTAGAAAATAACCTTGCCTAAGCGACAATATAATTTATTTGTACTAAGATGATCTTTGTCTCTGGATATGCGCGTAGAGTAGCGGAAGATATTGTAGACTTACAATATCTTCCACATATTACTAAGACATTAATAGCAATGGTGTCTTCATCTTGCTTATGTCTGACCATTATGTGAGAGGCATTTTTCCATACATACGCGCACACACACACACACATATATATATATATATATATATATATATATGTATATAAATAAAAAGAAAGAACTGCAAGATATATAATCCAGTGTTCTTATAGATATTTTTATTTTTACAAAATAGTGCTCAATGTAAATTTACAGAGCATTAATATTATAAATTAATTGATTTAAAATATGTTTTTTCGCTACACAATTCTAACCATGTCTCAAAAATGGAAGCTAAAAGCCACGAATTTAATTTTGTGATTAAATTAAAGATATTAGTTCCATTTCATCCTCAAGCGAATTTTGGACTCCAATATATATTGACCACTAATATTATCTCTCTTTATATATATATATATATATATATATATATATATATATATATATATATATATATCCAAGAAGATAAAATCAACGTAGAACTCTATGTACAAGAGAGTGCAGGAATACAATATAAAGGTTTAAACACTAATATTCCTTGGTTATAATTTATTGTATTAGAATCGTAATCGTAATCGCAATCCAATTCATCAGACGTACAAATTCACTTTGTAGGTCTGATAAAATGGATCTTGATTACGATTACAATGTAATAAATTTTAACCAATGAATACTAGTGTTTGAGCTTTTATATATATATATATATATATATATATATATATATATATATATATATATATATATATATTACACCAATACAGATTTTTATCACTTAAAACGTTATTTTAGTGAATACTCCTATTCGAGTAGACGTCAATTTTAAACAGTATGTTTATTTATTTTCATCTACCGGCCTGAATGTTCAAGAAATCTTATTAAAGAAAGATTTATATTCTTGGGCCGGATTTGAACCAGAGAGAGCTACCGTTAAACCCGACACGCCTTAACCAACTTACCCTCGCATAACCGACAAAAAATTAATTTTGAAGATAGCGTCTTCATGTATGAATTAATATGTCAGCGTGATATAACAACCTGTGTGAAGGTTGCTCAATTTTGTGTTTCAGATGGTCTGAAATTTAAGGGATGATGCGAAATTTTAATTTACGTCCAATTTCCATTCCGCGCCGATCTTTTTAACAGGAGTAAATATTTATCCCTTGTTACCTGTTTAGGATTGAGTTTCCAGTTCATTTTAAAGACTTCTGATTCTCTTTCACTGCCAGTAGTCCCTTGAGTTTTAGGAGCATTATCACCTTACTTGGGGGTTAATTGATAAAAAAAACTGAGCGATGAGTTCACACATGAATGCGCTTCTAGAATATATATAAAAATGTATTTTAAGATATTTTTATGTTTATACATTCTTTTTATAGATACAAATACTTAAGTAGATGCTCTTTTTATAATAAACAGTATTAACAAAATTTACCGGCCTGAATGTCCAAGAAATTTTCATAAAAAATATGCGTCCTCAGATAAATGCTGTTAATACGATTTATTATAAACAGAGCATTTACTTAAATACTGGTATCTATAAAAACAGAATGTATAATCATAAAAATATCTTAAAATAATTGTCGGACTTTGTGCATTTCATAATAAAAATGTATAAAAGAATTGCTTGAGGAATACAAGAAACGTACTGACAACTCCATTCGTCGATTGTGTCAAGAAATGAATTTTGATAAATAGAAAAAGCCACTGTGATCTACACATGATCGAAGGTCAGATAAAATGAAAGACGTGCCAAAGATTAGAAGATGGTAAACCTTCGCGTTCAAATGCATAGTAACGAACTCCTAAAATCCGATATACCAACATGATATGCCTAATTAACTTGTCTTACGTTCTGTTTCAGCCGGTCGTCCAGTAAGGTAATCGGCATCTTAGTTTGCCGATCGTCCCGATGTAAATGCAATAGAAACAGTTTAGGAGGAAACTCACTAATTTTTCAGATGAAGAATTGAAAGAAAACCAGATAGCGTAAGATGTTTTAATAATGGTAATTCAATCTGCTGGGAAAAAATCAAGTAACTTCTAAAGCCGACACTTATGACACGATTCAATACATAAAATTCTTCAAGCAGCAGTGTTAAGAAGCGGGGGAAACATAGGATATTGAATATATAATGTTATGTTATCAAAACATATATCATTTACGAATATGTCATTTAAAAATAAAACGTGATACATTTCTGAAACGGTTTGCGGGGGGGAGATTATTTAAATTCTACATTTATAAGTTTGTATAGGTGCCTTCGAAAATTATTTTTCTTACATTTAAAGAAGTCAAATATGTATTAAAAACAAAAATAACACCATGCATTCGGGTTAATGTTGGAGGGCATACTGTTAATGGATTCCGACAAAATTTATTACATTTCATATATTTTTGGAAGGAAATCTCGTCGTCTAACTCTACATTTCTCACTCTATTAACGTATATATATATATATATATATATATATATATATATATATATATATATATATATATATATATATATATATATATATATATATATATACCGAGGGAGAGAGAAAGAGATAGATAGGTAGAGATGTCTGTTTAATATACTTATTACATTTTCTTGACATGCGTATAAGTTGTCACAAATATGGATAAATTTTCTGAGAAAATTGGCCAAGTTGCTTATGTTTTTCTACAGGTGCATCGTTATTCATTTTAAGGAATGGTAACTTCCTCCGTTCTATAGGGACAAAAATTAATTATCTTCATCCTTGTTGTCGGGAAATCCTACAATTCAAATTTAAATTTATATTTTGTCTACTGCCCTACGTACTCCAGAAACAGCCTTTCTGCAATGACGTCACATTTATTTGTTGGGCATATATTCAAAATAGAAATAATTCATACTACCTTCGTGTATATATATATATATATATATATATATATATATATATATATATATAGTATATTTGTGAGAAATATACTGTTTTAAGGCATGCACGATATTTATGGGTTAAATTGCTCAATATTAGCGATAGATTGTATAGTAAAATAAAAATGGACACTATGGTCAACACCCAGCGGCTACAGACAGTTTCAACCTGAAGCCTAATCTTTACATCATCCTGAATACATCACACACACCCACCCACCCGCACAAACACACACACATCTATATATATATATATATATATATATATATATATATATATATATATATATATATATATATATATATATATATATATATATATCCTTCCTCTGTCCATTTCTATCTCACTCTTTATACAAACACACAACGTAGAATCGGAAAGTAATAGCTGACATTCCTGGTATACATTATATAGAAGGGTGGTTTGGTGAATTTAATAGTAGCATGATGCACGGCGGGAAGTTGGCGTAGAGAATCAATGAGCAAATTACCTCACGATTTTTTTTTGTGAATGGGATGGACGGCGAGGTAAAGAATAATGGTATAGAATCAGATTTTGCTTAGAGCTGCAGAAAACGTGGTGTTGTGGCTTTCCTTCATCACCATCGTTCTGAACGCTCCCAGTAATCAAAGCAAAAGTGGTGTATTCAAACGCATATAAATATGCACATGTGTTTGTACATGTCTGACTCTAAGGTTAGATTACATAGATAGATAGATAGATAGATAGATAGATGTGAGGAGACCAAGCGATAGATAGATAGATAAATCTTTGAGATCACGTGAAATTACCCGCATGCATTTATTTGGACGTAAAGATTTTTCTTTCTTTTTTTCTTTTTTTTTTGTATAGTAACTTTTGAAGCAAAGCATTAGATTGCTTTGTCCTGTTTATTCAAACGCCTGAAACAAAATTATTCTTGCAATGTGTATGCTGTCATCACACTGTAACCCTCTTGAATTCATGTTCCAGTGAACGAAGACCATTCTTCGAAAAGGGTCACATTAATCTATCAAATTTTGATGTCCGATTTTCCTGTCTCATGCGTTCCACCGCTGACTGGTTACTTAGGACAGCGTTAATTACACAAACCCACCGATCCTGGGCAACCTTAATTTACCGTAATTAACAGAACCAATGCCAAGTCATAGATCTCTAAGTTATCCTCCCCCTCTCTCCATTCCTCGCCATATACTATAGTCTACTGGAGGAGACAGAGCGCTTCCTAAGGAGTTCCGTTGGTCGGAAGAAAAGCTGTCCAAGAGCGAGCACGTCGGTGTGGTTGGTGTGTGGTGCGCCATTTTCAGTTGTCATAACAGCACGAAAGCGATAGATTATCGACTTCGCAGTCGCAACCAGCGACAGGAACGAGAATCCATTAAATTTGGCATCGTCTTATTAAGGACGCATTTATTTACTGATGTTTATTATTACTTTGCAATTAGTGTGGACATCATTTCTTGAGCTGAATTCTCCGCTCCATTCCTTGATGTTACATTGGTCAAATACAATGCATTTCTTTTACACTTTACTAGAATATGCAAAGGCACTAGCAGTAAGCACTCGTGTGCATTACTCGGGTTCTCTGCTTGCGTGTACATATTTAAGAAATATTTAAAGTGTCAGTTCTATACAACCGTTCTCAGATCAATGGTCAAAAAATGAATTTTGAGTGAAGCCCGTGGGTCTTGTGAAAGACAACGTGACTTCAAACCTTGTGAACATGCGAGAGATAATCGCAAAGAACTGTACCAGTTAACAGAAACGACATCATTTAAAGATGTCACGTGTAAATCAGAGAGAAAATAATGACACAATATATAATTGGCATTACACATTGCTTCAAATAAAAGGTTAGGAAGGAAACTCCCATCAGAACTGAAAAAAAGAGACAACAGCTCTTAGATTGATGAAACTCTTTTTCTGAAAATCTTTTTAAGAGAAATATTTTACAAATGTCAACTGAGAGGATATGTATTAAAACTTCCTAGATTTAAAACTAATGATAGAGTGTATAGAAAAATAAAAATGGACACTGTCTCACTCTTTATACACACACACAACGTAGCATCGTAAATTAACAGCTGACATTTCCGATATACATTATATACAGAAGGGTGGCTTGATAAATTTAATAGTGTGGACATCATTTCTTGAGCTGATTTCTATTCTTGCAATGTGTACACTGCCATCACACTGTAAGGAATTCCGTTAGTCGGTAGAAAAGCTGTCCAAGAGCGAGCATGTTGGTGTGTGGTGCGCCATTTTCAGTTATCATAATAATTAACGATCAATGAATAGCGAAAGTTTCCTTATAAAGAAACGGATAGTATTACTATTAGAATCACTATTATATTCAAGTTGTTAAAATCGAATTACTTAGAGATGGTATCATATAAACAATATGAGTTTCATTTTATAATAAAAAAGAATGTTTTTTTTTACGTTGAAATCTTTTTATTACGTATTTGAAGGTAAATAATCAAGCAAACGATCAACTGTAATATTTAACTCTTAAACAGTGAGTAAATAATGCATGGTACGCGCAGACCAAAAGTGTATAAAACAAGAAAAATAATTTTTAAACTGTAGTTTTTAAGCTTACTGTCAGTTTGGATATTAATTTTCCAAGCATAGCTTAGATGTGGCACTAGGCCGAAAGTAGAGAGGCACCCAGCGAGAATCGAACTCAGAATCAAGCTTGCTAACCATTACACCACCTCGAGGTGCCCAGGGATTTTCCAAGCGTAGCTTAGATGTGGCACATGTAGGGAAGACGGAGTGAGAACCTAACTCACTACTCAGTCGTAATTGTTCTAGCGAGACAAGATTGCTAACCATTACACCACGCCGAAGTGCCCAATTTTCAGTTTGGATATATTAATTTCTAAGTGTTGTATCTCTTAACGACGTGTGTTATTGTGGCCCTCCACAACTTCCCATCCATAGTACCTCTTAGCTATTCCTGTAACAGTTTGTTCGGAAATCTATTTACACATGCTGGTTAGGTAGGTTACTCGCTGTTTGCCTATGTCCCTCATGCAGTCAATTTGTCTCCATTCTTTTTGGCTCATTATGTGTCCCATAGATTTCAATTGTGCTTTTCTAAGTCTAAATAAATACGTCCTTTTTGTTTCTTTACACTTCCACGTCGCTCACATGCTCTGTCCATGTTATTTACAGGATCCTACTGTATAACCACATCTCTGTTGCCTCAGTTCTCCTTTTCATCAGTGAGGAAGTTATCTAGCAGTCATTGTCATATAGAAAGTTTAGTAGTACATAATTATTTTGGCACTATTTTGTTTCTAAAGAAATTTTCTTGTTTACTAATATTGTTTATTTAATATACATTTAGCTATTCCATTATGTCTTTGGATTTCTGTGTCATCTCTTATAACACTTTCCACTTCCCCTTATTCATAATCGTACATTCTGTCTTACAAAATATTTACCTCTTTTAATTTATGAAATAAAGAATAATGGAAATAAAAGATGTTTCCTATATGTAATATTTTTGACAGTATGATTATATTCATGAACAATGGAAATGTAATCATTTTTTACGTCTTTTCTGTTGGAAAGTAAGAATGCAAACATAGCTCTATTTTGGGCTTGTACGTTCAGCTTTCATTACAGTCAAATACTTCAGAGACTAACATAAGCTCCTGAATCCTAGTAAATGTAATATATCCTGACCAGTCATCTCGACTTCAGTTATTTTCGCACCGATGTGCGATGCAACTGCCACTTCTACCCTAACAGTTTTTCTCGCACTTCCCACCTGTGGAACACCCTTCAGATTTCTTGCTTCCCTGATAACTACAATCTTCAAAAGCTTCAGTGTAACGTCAATCGCCATCTTCTGTCTTCTTGAGCCCTTTTAGATTTTTGTTCTTTCCTCAACCCTTCACATTCTTATACTTCTCATTCTCTTTCAATTTCACCCCCAGTAACCTCTGCGTTCTGGTGGCATTATAGCCTTACTTAGAGGGAAAAGATTAAATAATAATAATAATAATAATATGCGTGACATTTTCAATACTGCTCTGGGAGAAAATCTCATGAGGCCATTTCTCCCTTTACGTCTCTGGAAAAGAAATGAGTATACACAATCAATCAAAGGACATAATAATAATAATAATAATAATAATAATAATAATAATAATAATAACTGGTGTGAACACCACCCGGACCAGGTTACGGAGATAAGACCTGTTAAAATTCTATGGAACTACACAATACACACTGACACAACAATCAAAGCCAACCGCCCAGATATTGTTATTAAAGACCACAAACAAAAACAATGCCTCCTTATTGATATGACAGTCCCTGCAGACTACAATCTATCTTTGAAGATATTCAAAAAGCTGTCAAAATACAAGGACCTTGAAATCGAAATCTCAGAAATGTGGCACATGGGATCATCAACAATCCCTGTTGCAGTTAGAGCCCTAGGATTGGTTGGAAAAGATTCCAGTAGACTAATTGAAGGGATTCCTGGAAACCCATGCCTCAAAGAAATACAAAAAAATGTTCTCACAAGTACAGCCCACATTTTACGAAGGGCTTTATCTATGTAAAATATGTATATATATATTTTATTTATATATATATATATATATATATATATATATATATATATATATTTTGTCAGTGGAAAGTATCATGATGCCATTTCTAACCTTAGGTAGCTGGGCTGGACCCGGAAAGAAATGTGCACACACCAGAAATCAAAGGATATAAAAATAATAATAATAAACCCATGAATCCAAGAATTACAAGTTACCCGAATGATACCTATACCGTTAGCAACAATTATTCAGTTGATTAAATCTACTGATTATCAATAAAACAACAATCGATTATAGCCGCTGTTTCAAAGTTGAAATATGCTTTAAATAATATATTCTGATGATTGGGTTCAATGTGGCTTCTGTTCGTTTCCCCGTGAAATATCAGAATTGAACTATATCCGAACGAAACAAATATCCATACAAACAAGACATTGCTGTCATTCACAATCACTAAATATTTGTCCCTGTGCTGTTATTCCAATGTGCAATTTTATTAATTCTTTAATTAAGTATTATACTAAAAATAATCTTTCCTACTAAACATAACATTTCTGTTCATCAGCGAATGTGAATTTATTTTCACTTCAAGAAATAAATATTCGTATGAAATGTATTAACAAACAACTTTTTTTTCTTTCGGTTCTTTTGATGTAATTTTTTTCAAAGAAAGATAACTCGGCTTTTTTTTTTTCAAATCCAAATTAAAAGGCTTTACGCAAAACTTTTCATGCACGCATTTTTATTATGTCAGATTCCAGTAAATGCTAAATGTCACGAAGCTAATACATTCAATTCAACGATAATCAATGGCAGATTGCCTTCAGTTATAATCGGCAACGGGAGTTAATTTCCATTGGGTATAAATAATTATGTTTCATAGAATCTAATGCATTAGCACAAAAACAAATAAGGTTATAAAATAAATTTGATGTTCAGCATGAATTCTAATTTCAATCAAATTTTACCGTCATCGCTAACTTCCCCGGAAGCGCACGCGCATGCATAAAGAGATAAGGAATGATAGATAGATAGATAGATAGATAGATAGATAGATAGATAGATAGATAGATAGATAGATATAAGCTGAATGAGATAAATAGATATGCGCAGGATGAGATATATAGATAGAGAGGGGTAGATAGATAAGTTAGGGATAGATGAACATAGATAGATAGATAGATAGATATGGGCAGGATGAGATACATAGATAGAGAGGTGTAGATAGATAAGTTAGGGATAGATAGATAGATAGATAGATAGATAGATAGATAGATAGATAGATAACAACAACTATAAAACAGATTGTATTTCACCAAAATCTGTCAACTGATCTCATCGTGTAAAGTAACATATCTGTGGCAAATAGTGTTTTCAATTATTGTCTTCGATGTGGAGCGATATAACATGTATAATAATACTAATATAAATATTTTTCATTTAACTCTTGAATATATTGACTCTGTATTTCACGGAATCAAGTGTGTGCATGTAATGTAATGGATAATAGCTCGGCTTTCCAATTTTGAGCTCAGAGTTCGAATTCCGCTCGGGTTCTTTAGATTCCCTTATGTTCAAAATACTCTTGGGATGTGTATGAATCTATCTTCTCCTTCCGATGTATACACGGTATTGATTAACTTGAATTATATGCATAAAAGGCAAATAATGTTTATTCTTAATGTAATAATCACTCGAAAAAAGAATAAACAATCCAAAATATTTCTGGCTTTAAATAACCCATGAAGTGTTTATGAGGCTTAAAAGGCAGTCAATGAAGCTAGGAATTGCATGCACTCTTCAGGAACATTTTTAGTCAATCTAGGCACGGTGGAGTAATGGATCGCGGCTCAGATTGAGGAATCGAAGAGCCGAGTTCGAATTCCATTACGTTCACTTATAACATTGGATGGCAGCTGGTTTAGGGCGAAAATAAATGTCAACCTCGTCATGTATCGAGAGATATATGATCGCCTAAGAGTGTATCACGCATGGCTGACTGATATACATGTATGTGTGGGGCACCTCGAGGTGGTGTATGGTTGAAAAGCTCGCCTTGCTAGATCAGTTACGACTGAGTAGTGAGTTCGATTCTCAATGGGTTCCCTATACTTTCGGCCTTGTGCCACATCTAAGCTACGCTTGGAAAATCACTATACATATATATGTGTTTGGGTGCGTGTATTTATGTGCACACGAGTGTAGTCTAGCTGTTTGCTTTTATGAATTGAGCTACTAAGTCCTCGTGTGTCGAAAACGATGGGAGAGTCTATTATAGAACGCCTACGGAACAAGAGATGCCAGCATAGTTATGCGGTGGATTATTCTTCTTCAGCTTTTTTAGCCTTTGAAAATAATGTTATGATATTTGTGATACTGCCAATGTACAGTTTCATTCTCTCGGGCTGTTTAATAACCGTTCGATAAAAAAAAGTTATTTAAAAAAAAATCAAAGATAGAAAGGCTGACAAATAAATAAACATATGCACGAGTTTCAGGGCGATAATTGCAAAGGTTAGATTTACTTGGCACTCGACTTTAAGGAGACATAATTTTTTATGCTCCAGTAAAATTATAATTTCTTCATCTAACGACTGAATATAATTATGTTGTATTTTTTATTTTTATTTTAATAAGACTTTCGATCTGTAGGCCGCTAGATATTAATTTAACAGATAAAAATAATGACGTGTACCAAAACACAAGTACCTACTAAATATAGCGTTTATATCAACAAAAAATAATATTATATTCAAAATCCATTAATTACTTAAATATATGGGTGAATAGTTGCTTTAATATATCTTGGGAAGATGCGTTTACCAATTTACTAAGACTTTATTGTCAGTTATATTTAACATCCATTTCTCATTGCAATTGACTGAGTTAATTTTTAAAAGGACAGGATCCTCCATCAGAACATTTTATAAGGAATAACAATAAACTGTGTTCAACATTTTTCTCGTGATTCTGTATTTAACAACCATTTTATTTCGAAGCACATATTCATGAAATTACAATATTACTAATAAAAGAATGAAATAACTTTAAATTATGAAGAATTATACCAAAAAGAACTAAGTCTGATGTGACCGAGATATAAGCTATCGTCTTGGCTAGAGAAAAATCCCAGCGTGTATCTGTCTGTTGGGGAGAGGGAGGACTTTTGTAGTCTTTTCATGTAACAACAACCAACACCCTCTCAATTAAATGATGGGACTCATTTCTCTCCACTTTCCACGTTCTAAGGGGCAAATAAATACAAACAAGACACATAAATATTTTTGATTGATTTTCATTTTTTTACTATAACTTTTCATCTTTTAATATTTCAAAACTTTTTTTCATATATTTTGTAATATTTTTCATATTAAAAATTTTTAATACCTTTTTTTCACTGACAAAAGGGTTTAACAAAATATAATGGTAAAAAGAAAATAATTGGGGGAATAAAAATGATAAGCAAACATTTCAGTCTTGTGCTCCATTTAGATCATTAAAATACTTAATTTTATTTTGCCTATAGTTTTTCTAGATAAATTGGAAACATTTTGATCTGACGGAATATAGTCCATCTTTATTGTACCATTTTTAATTTCAGTCCTTATATAGTAGTACTTTATGAAGTACATTAAAAATGGTACTTTATGTTTACACGTTTTGAACGTTGGTGGCAGACAGGATTCTTACTAAGAGCTATAGTATCACAATAGATAGTAGCTTGCACATTTTTATTTGAATTAATCATGTCGTTTAATAATTGAACAAGGAATTCTTCTTGCATAAAATTTCCCATCGCCCATTTCGAATACTAGAATCGGAATTCACAGTTGACATTTATCTATTAACTAAATTCCCCCTGACCAGTGAGTTCAATGACGATTCAAATTATAAAGCATTAAAGTTGATCTCAACATTCTATTGAAATGAAACTTAATTTTATTATATTTCATTTAAATATTTCAATTCCTTCGTGTCACCATTGGTCTGGTTTAAAGTTCATGTTTAACATTTTACTGACTGTTTCCAGAATTTAATAGGAATAGAACTTCCGGTATAAACTTGAACTTTAAAACAGATTAAATTAAAAAAAATAGTTTTTTTTAGTATGCCAAAAATTATTTTAAAATCATATTCACTTGAAATATGTTCAATTATGTCAAAAATATTTTTTAAATATTGTTTAAGGAAAGCTGAATATAAATAATTACTCTACAAATAAGTGGACGAAACAACAAAGCGGGAAATCTTTTTGTCTGTCTTTAACTTAAAAAAAAATTAATTAAATGATTGACTGTTTGAAGAAAGTTAAAATAAAAATACTTACTGTATAAACAATTCGTAAATCACTATGCGGCAAACGGACACACCACATAAGCACACAACCACTCTCTTTTAGTATTGTAAATATAGATAGAAAGATTTTACTAGGCACCACACAAAATTTAACTGGTAACCAATCCATAAAAATATAGAAATACACTACTCAAATTCCTCGTATCAAAACACGACCAAAAATATGACTAACGAAACAGGCATCTCGTATCACTCAAAATGTCAAGCAACATAGGGATAAAAAACTAAATAAACTTTCCTTAGTTGTTGAAAACAAAGATGATTACAATTTTTGAATTTCACATTTTTTGCCAGTGATTCTTAAATTTTTCTACTCTAGCGCCTCTCAAATTTAATTTCACGTGTTTACGATTTGTTACATAATAACAACTTCAATTCAATTTCCGCCAGCTACCAAAAACAAAACAAATACAACAATTGAGATATCTGGAAAGTTATTTAACAGAGGACGGAAATCTTGGCGATGAAATGCGAAGGTACACTGGGAGAGTGAGAGATTCATTGCAAAATTTAAGTAAGTGTTAAGAAGCAGACAAATTTCGTTAGAACCAATGAAAACAGTACTAAAATGTTATATAATATCAGTCCGCTATCACAGAAATACAGGATTGAAGCAACAATTATTTGTTTCTACAGAAGGATACTGAGAATACCAGGGACTGAACATGTGAGCAACGAAGAAGTTTTAAGGAAAGTGGAAACGAAAAGGACACGTAAAACTAATATCAACAAGAGAGAGAGAGAGTTGAAATGTCCAGCTCACGAGAGAAAGAGAAATCGGACAAAAGGACAACATGACCCAACTATTGAGATTAAGTAAATGGATAAAGAAACAAGGTTTAAATAGATAACAAAGATATCATTTATTTAGAATTACAAAGGGCAGGGAATTGTAGAGAGTCATGATCGGTTACATCCTGAAGGCACCCCGCAAAAAGAAGCTGTAGCGGCAAACGGTTTAAATTTGTCTGATATTAACTTGTTTGATTTTGCTCTCTATATTAGATTTGCAGTTAATGTTTTTAATACGTCTTAAAATTGATGTGACTTAATACGTCTTAAAATTGATGTTAGTGTTGAAAGTAATAAATAAACTTAATGACCTATTAAAATTATAGTGCCATCTAACTCACCGGAAGAAAATACTGTCCTCTTAAGTTTTCTCGCAATTTTATATCTTATTATTTCCTTGCTATTTTTTCGTTGAGTTCACCCCAGTAAATGCAGTAAAGCCATTGCGAGATAAGGCCTGACTGGGTGCGGAAGAACACTGCTTAGGAGCAAGAACAAAAGAAGAGCAACCAGGACGACAAAAGATAGCGATTAACATTGCATTTAAATTTTTAAAGATTAATGTTGGCTGGAAATCATGGAACCGGAAGGAAGTTCCAGAAGCGAGAAATGCGAGAAAATAAACTGTTAGCATAGAAATTACGGCTACATCTAGCCAGTTCAATTGTAAACAGGCAATATCCTGTCGCCAGTCTAGTGTTGCACTTAACTTCATAAAATTTAGGTACCGTAGCTAAGAACTAATCCAAACAAATACGATTAAATAAATTATAGAAAATCAAAGGGAGGCAACTTTAAGGCTGTAGGAAAGTAAGTGAAGCCGAGATGCCAGATGAAGGCCAATAATATTGATGACTTTTTCTTTGGATTTTAGCAAAGAGGTCTAGATAAATAGCAGTCGCACCGGACCATATGTGTCAGTAATATTCTAGTGTGCAATTAGTAGACTTATAGATTCTGGAGGGAGAAATCGTCTAGTACAACACATTGAACGAAATGTCTTAGTAGCTGACCTAGCAATGGATTCAATATATTCTTTCTACTTCATGTCAACCCGGAAGCCACAACGAGTCACTCTCCTGGAGGTTAGCATCAGCCATACGGATGGAAGTCAGGGGAAGGTCTGTCCGATGATTACTATAGAC